CAAAATATTCCCCTTTAACCTTTACTGACTGAGACCTTATACACTCCAAATACAGTGAGACCACCTCCTTACACACACACACACACACATACACACATACTTGCTGTGGATATCGAATGTGTTGCTCTGATTGGTTAATAAATAAAGTGCTAATTGGCCGCCAGTAGCCAGGCAAGAAGTATAGGGGGGGGGCACAAAGAGAGAGGAGAATTCTGGGCAGGAAAGCGGAGTCAGGAGTCACCAGCCAGACACAGAGGAAGCAACATGTAAAAGTACTGGTAAGCCACAAGCCACGTGGCAACTTATAGATGAATAGAAATGGGTTAATTTAAGATATAAGAACTAGATAGCAAGAAGCCTGCCACGGCCATACAGTTTGTAAGTAATATAAGTCTCTGTGTGTTTACTTGGTTCTGAGTGAATGCAGGAGCTGGGTGGACACAGGAGAACTCCAGCTACACACACTATACATGCATATGCATACAAACACACAACAAAAGCTGCAAAAAACACACTAAGCCAAGTGTACATATAAAAACTAAGGTTCAAACCTTAAATAACTGACCAATTAGTAGTATACCCCTTATCATTAAAGTTAAGATGAGAAAAGGGTATACAACTTAATATTTATTTTGATACCAACATACATATGGATATCTGTCTAAAGCATATGCACATGTACATATATAGATGTGCAAACCTAACAATTACACCCAAAAGCAACTGATCTGAGTAATTTTCTTTTTTATATACTAATCATGCATCTAAGTCTGGCAACATATCCAAAGAATTTTCTAATTCTCCTTTGTAGGTGGTTCAGTGGACAACACCACTCTAAGCTAGGTGTGGTGGTATATACCAGCAGTCCCAGAATTCAGGAGGATTATCAGTTCAAGGCCAGACTGACTACATACATAATGAGACACTTTCTCACAAAATATATAAAGACTTCAGGCCATGACATTTCTCTGTCCTCACAGCGGCTGTGGTTACCTGCACACAAGGGAGCCAGTGACCATTCCGACATGGATATGACAGAGGTCTACGAGGTCCTACTCCTAGGTGAGGAGTCATTGTTAGTTAATGGCTGCTGGGGAGAGAGCGAATTATTTCCTCCCCCAGTGGAGAAGACACTGGTAAGTTGTCCACGTGCCAGTAAGTAACCCCCAGACATGTTCACATAAGCAATCCTAATCAAACTCAGCAGGTCATTTTAGAAAAGACAAGCAAGTAGGAAGAGAAGCTGTTGGGAAATATCCAGGTAGCAGAGGAGGATGAGGCAGGGTAACAGGGGTGAATATGATCAAATACATCATATACGTGTATGAAGTTGTCAACCACTGAAATATATATATATATTAACTATATATATATATATATATATATATATATATATATATATATATATATATATATATATTAAAACAGAGCCATTGTCTTCTCCTTTTAGGTCTGTGCTTCCTTCCTTTAGTAATTTCTAGAACACGAGTTGGCAATGTCCAAACCTGACTATGACAGGAAGGATGGTTCCCCCAGGAACTGTAGCTTCCCGCAGGGAAACTTATTTCAGTAACACGGGCTTTACTTAGACAATGTATAGGAGGTTTTCTACTTCAGAATAAAGGCACTTCTGCTCCCTGCACACTTGGGGATATTTTAAACCGTGTCTCTTCTTTCTGAGCCACCACAGATTTATGAAAACAATCATTTGGACCACGGGAAAATTTCCCAACATCCCCATTGTAAGAGGAAAGCATCTGAGGTGGACTCCCCCAGATAACAAGGAGACTATGGCGGGAAGCTGTCACTCAGTTTTCACCGGTATCTGTATATAAGGAGAGATGGAAAGGGCCACTAAGGATGTTTTCTCTTCTCTGTGTCCTTTTAAATTAAGTGTCTCCGGAAGTGATGGACTTCGCACAGGTAACAGTGGAGCCTCTCTGTGTCTGCCCCCGTCACTCACTCTCCCTGCTGTATTTCTGGAATTGGGCTTCATGTTCTGTCATCTTCAATATTTTAATACTTTACTGATCTTGAATATGTTTAGACATAGAAGGCCCGCAGTAACATAAAATTTTATAGCCAACAAACTCTTTATACCTAAAGTTTATTACACATTTTCTGTTTTGTTTAACAACACATGAGTCTCTGAAATGCAGCTTTTTCCAACTTGCACTTGGCTCATTTCCATTTGATCTTTGTTTTTTTTTTCTCATGGGTATTGATTGCATTATTACACTAGGAAGGATATAATATGAAGACAGTATTTTATAACAAGGTTTTTTTTCACTATAGTGATGATTATTTTTAAAAAATTACCACACTTTCCATTAATCCCTGATTTATAAAGATGGGATGGAAGCACCAGAATTTTTAATGTTGGGCAAATTTGTAATATTGTATAAGACATGGAATTCATAGAGCAAGTAGATAACCACCTTTTTACATAATTGTAGAAATCAAGCAAACAAAACAATTCTGGGCTTTTCCATAAGATGAACTGCAACAAGGACCAACATCTGGGAATAGTGTGGGATGGAGGAGACACAGGCATGCTGAAATCAACCCCAGCTCCACACTGCCATCCAGATGAGAGGTGACATGGATGCTTTACCAGGAAAGACCAAAATGAACAAAAATGGATTCAATTTGGTGCCTGAAGCATTTTCCAGTTCATATTTTCTACACAGGTAGTTGCAAATAAAAGGCAGAGCATATGTGAGGCAGCCCCACCACTTTCAAAGAAATACTGGAAGATTCTTGCAAGATCTATTAAACTACTAATATTCATTAAGGCCCCAGAAGCTTGAAATGTCCTCACCACTGACAGATCCTCACAAAATAGATGTCAGGGTATTCTTAGGAGCAAGGGTTAACTAACTGCCATACGAAAATAAACCACTCATCTCCTTGGTCTTACGGAGCTCTTGACCTATTTTCTTGCCTGAATGGCCAGGAAAGAAATTCAAAAGCCTTTAACCCTCTTCATGCTTAGAGAATCTAAAAATATACAGGTTGGATGGAAGTTTCTCTACACTTTTATTATCTCCAAGGATGAGGTCACTGAGTCTTAGCATGGGAGTAGTGTTTGAAGGGTTGCCATACCTCAATTCCAACCTTGGAACTACAGGACTCTCAGGCCAGCAATGTCTTGTGCAGAATCATTTCTAAGACCGTTCAAATTGAGAATGTATCAGAAAGAGAACAGTTACTTCTTAGATTTTTAAATGACTGTTCTCCCAATACCCTAGTAATCAAGAAGTCCACTTCATTGTCTACTATTTTCAACTTTGATTTTATCTACTCTGCCTTCTACCAAGATGAGAATAATGCCTTGTAAGCCTTTTTAACAGCCCTTTTTACCCTTGACTCTGATTTTTAAGGTACCCTTCAACTACCTTTACTGGAAGCCTTGTATCCTTTGTGATGAACACAATTAAAAACTGCTCCAGAGTCTTCTTAAAGTAATGTGAGATTTTTCCATTTTTATGCCTGCCTTGGGTGATGTTAACATCTAAGTGGCACTGGGATGTGAATACTGGGGAGATGTCAAAAGACAACCTCCATCCTTAACTCTCCCTTGATGCAAGTGACAGTCTTATTTGTTTTGTTAACTAGTGTATAATTAAAAGTCAATGTTCAAGACCATCATAAAAATCTGTATAACTATGCATGTTGTGAGTCTGAGGTTGGAAAGGAATATCCATTAAAACATAGCCATGTGTAATTTACAAGAAATCAGTGATAAAATGTTTGCTCTCGACATTATCTGCAAATGGTCTGTGTATTACCAGAATAAATCTGTATTACTTGGAGGCTGTAGATAAACATCCATAGGCAAAGTTCACACTGAGGTTATCTGCTGCCTGCTCTGAAGCAAGAAGTGCGATTTAGGAGAGATAGATGGTAGTTTGCCTATCCAAGTCTCGAGTACACAGCACAGAAATGAGTTTAATTCCTGAGAGGGTATCTGTCATACCCAAATGGGGATGAATACCATTATCGCTTTGTGCCCAGTGCAGAACACAGCTTGAGTCCTTGGTGAGAAACAAAAAGAGCCTGAATGATCCAAAGTCCTGGATTTACCTTCCGCTCATCAAAGGAGATGCTTCTGGCTTTGGGAAAGGCAAATTCGATAGCAATGAGTGATATCATGACTAGTGATATCACAGTCATAGAGCTAAAATTCCATATATATCTTTATCTTGAGTTGTCAAGTAGGATTAATATTCTATAGATAAGGAGACATACGAGACTAAAAGAGGGAGGCACGGAAATAACACGTAATGGATGTTCAAGAGGGTCATGGAATTTTCCTCCATGGTGTAGCCAGCACTAAGCTGTCCATGCCCTGAAAATAGCCCTTCACACATTCCTGTTCATTTAAACTCCTTGGTTCACAAAAGGGAGAGGAGGAAGAGGAGGAAGAGCAGGAAACAAAAGAAAATAGACAGGATTGGTGCATTTTAAACCTTGTTAGAAAAACACACCGATCAAAAAGGTTTGAAACGTGGTGGTGGTGGTGGTGGTGGTGGTGGTGGTGGTGGTGGTGGTGGTGGTGGTGGTGGTGGTGGTGGTGGTGATGCACACTTTTAATTCCAGCACATGGGAGGCAGAGGTGGATCTCTGTGAGTTCAAGGCCAGCCTGGGCTACAGAGTGAGTTTCAGGAAAGGCACAAAGCTACACAGAGAAACCCTGTCTCAAAAACAAACAAACAAAAAGGTTCGAGATTTTTAGGGTAAGAAGCCTGTACCTCCTGGGCTTGCTTCTTTTATAAACCTTTACCCTCACTTCTAGATGTCTTTATTGCAGCTCTTCCAATCCAGTACCTCCAACAGTGATTTTGTCTTTTCTCCACTCACACTTCATTCCTATCGCCAGGAAGTACTCAAATTTCCAGCACCTTTGATTCCTTCTCCCCTCTCTGCTTCTCCCTATCCCCAGACCTCCTGATAAGAGCACCCCAGTAAGGATGCTCTCCTCATGTGTTCAGACTGACCTCCTCTCCCGGCGACTCCTCCAGTGCGTGTCTCTGTCTTTACAGGAACCAACTGGACAGCAGTGTGAAACAGAGGAAATGTCTCTAGGAATGTTGCCTAGGAACTGAGAAATAACCACACCTTAGCAACAAAGCCTTCGGAACACAACCTGGCCCTAATCTGGAGGCTGCTAACCTGATCCAGGAAAGGCACATACTGAATCTGAAAAGTCACTCCCCATAAGCATGCATTCAGTAATGGGCTTACATTCCTTCATTTGTTCATCCATTCAACAAACTTTCAGTAGGTGCCTCCTAGGTTTTAAAAATGAGATCATGACAAGGTGACAATATTTAGACATATCAGGACACCAGAAAAGAAAGACTTCTTAAATATACAACGACTAAGTCGTGACTTGGAATACAAATGGAAGTCACCTCTCCCTGCCATTCAATCTCTAGCAGGTAGCTCTGGTCTTTGGAGGTTGCCCCCAGGCCACAGAGCAGCTCTGTCTGATCATTGGGCAGCTATTAGCTCCTATGAGCCCGTTTCCTGAACAGAACAGCCCAACATCGCTACTGTAGTTGGGGACATCTCTGAAGTGGAGTTTACACTCCTGACTCCCCGTGGGGACTCTGATTGAAGCCTTTACCTGGAATGGAGGTGCTGCCATTGTTCATGTGCCTCCTATGCTCAGTGTGTCTCTCTCTCCTAGCTGCTCCTGCCATCCCTGAGAGTGCTTCCTTAACAAGTCACTGACACTCTGCGGAGAACCCAACACCAGACAACTTCAAAGAGTCCAGGCACATGGCTGGAATATAAGGTACCAGGTGGAGGGATTGTGAGATGGAGTCTGGATCTGTTGTGCTGTGTATCTATCTCTTAAAGGTGCTACAGGGCTGTAGGAGGTGGATGCTGGACAGTCACACTGGGATCTGCACTCACAAGGACATTGTACTTAGTTTAATCGTCCCTTGTTACCTCCTTTGTTTTTTATCCTTAGTTTTCAAGGCAACATTCTCCCCTGGAATTATTCAGGCTACAGACACAGGGTCAGGATATAAATTAGGGTTGGAATCTGAAGCGTACCCCAAAGGTCTGTGTGCTAGAGGCTTGGCCACCAACTGTAATGCTAAGCGATAGGGCTTTATGATGTAAGGCCTTGTTGGAAAAAAAACAGATCACACTTTGAAGGGCAGATTGGGTCCCTGGCCCTTTTCTGTGTCTCTGCCTCCTGTTTACCCTGAGGTGAGCCACTGTGTTCTACCACATTCTATGTCACCATGCTCTGCCTCACCATGGGTGCGGAAACAAAGTCAAGTGGCCATGGACAGAAACCATGTGTCAAAATCAACACTTCAGTGGCTGTGAAGACGGCGTAATTGGTAAAGTGCTTGCTGCAGAAGAATACAGATTTGAGTCAGACCCCATTAAAAAGTCAGATGGGCTTGTTTACATATGTAACCCTAGCTGGTGTTAGTGGGAAGGGAGAGAGGCAAATCCCTGGCCAGCCACCTTAGCCAATCAATAAACACCAAATTCAGGGAGAGACCCTGTCTCAAAAGATAGGGTGAAGAGTGACTGGAAAAGACACCGAACATCAACCCCTGGCCTACACACACACACCCCACATACACATGCACACAGAGAGATATACTATACACAAAGAAAATACAAATGAAATAAATGGGTATTTTATCTTTTAAGTTGCTTATCGCCTGTGTTTTGTCCCAACAAAATGCTAACTAACCCAGTATCCTTTCCCCGCAGCCTCTAACTCTACTTGGTGCCCTGAGACTGGAGGCAGGTTCACCAGTTACAATGAGATGTCATGCTGCTCCCATACACCTTTGTATCTGATAAGATGTCAAACAGAATCCTTAAGCTTGAGTCTTAGGGTTTCACCTACACAATGTTCTCTTGCTCTAAATAAATACCAGAGACAGGGTTATTATTTTTTTAAAAAAATAGTTATTAGTTCATGATTCTGGAAGTCCATGAGCATAGCAGTGGCATCTGCCTGGCATTGTTGAGAGCTTCCCATTTGGATCAGAACATTTCATGAGACAGAGCAAGCCAACGACAGTGCTCACTTGTATAACAAAGTGAGCACTGTTATCGTCACTGCTATTATCTCCCTTGATTCCAGCAGCCATCAATCTGGAAATGGATTCATTGCCATCACTCCTTCATAGTTCCATCTGGTCTCACCTGACATGGGAATTATGTTTCGACATAAGTTTTGGAGGATACACACACCCAAGCAGGGCCCAATGGTCTAGCTGGATTAACCTTTCCGAATCCTGTACAGGTGTGCTCTGAATTAATGGATTCTCCAAAAGACTGATTGTTTTTAATATCATTGTCGTAAGTTTTACAAGTCACAAAAGCACAAGCAACAATATAGTGGTGGATATAGACTCTGCTATTTTTGACACCCCTGAGAAACCCTCCTTTAAGGACTATCTTTGCTAAAGAAAATTTCCTGAGCAGGGTATGGTGGTTCATATCCATACTCCCAGCATCCTGGCTATGGAGGCAGAAGATCAGTTTCAGCTACATAGTGAGCTCGGAGTTAGCCTAGGCTAAATGAAACCCTGCCTTAGCCGCCCACTCCACAGAGGAAAATAAATTATATAAAAGACTATTGAGTGAAAGCTTTTACCTTTCCAAACCACCCGGGTTTTTTGTTGGCTTGCGTTGGTTTTTCAAGACAGGGGTTCTCTATATAGTCCTGGCTGTCCTGGAACTTGCTCTGTAGACCAGGATAGCCTCAAACCCAGAGATGCACCTGCCTCTGCCCGGCTCAGATCTTCATCACAGCACTTCATAATTAAGCTACTCTCTATGAGAGCATGTTTCTGGACCGTGCCCCCCCCCACCTCTGGACAGATGAGGTTTAAATGAGGCCTGGTCATATCCAGATCATCTACACTTCACCATGGTTGACTCAACTCCTGGCCATCTGGTCACACCTGCTGTGACTTTGCCCTAAAAAGACACCTGATTCCTTGACCAAAGGAGGCAGACTAAGTTCATCAAAATGATTCCAGGTGATTACAATCCAATAATGTGTCTGCTAAATGTATTAGGAGTAAATATGTGCAGTCCACATACTGCATTCCAACAGCTCATTTGAAAGTCAGTGGCGAGGAACATGAAATCCATTTTTTTATAGGCAACATAGCTATAAAAAGTGGTTATGGGACCACTGGCTACAGAAGCCTGATAACCTGAGTCTGGTTCCCCCAAAACCTATTGAAATGCTGGAGATAGAGGCGAGAAAGGAAGATCACAGGCTGCTTAGCAACAACAGCAAGCTAGATCCTGCCTCAACACGGTACAGAGAGAGAACCAGCTCTCCAAAAGTCATCTTCTGATCACACACATGTGCACATGCACGTACGCGCACGCGCGCGCGCACACACACACACACACACACACACACACACACACACACGCCTAAGTGATTACATTTCCAACCGGGACTCCAAAATTTATTTAACCCATAACTCTGCTACAACTACAACACAGTGTGTTCATGAAGGAGTTCATGTTACTTTATTATGATTAAACAAAGTAGAAGAAATATTCATAAATACGGTTCTTTTGTAGATGAGTCTTGAAGACTCATGTTCCAAAGAGGCAATTCTGAATAAAATACAGTAAATGGAGTCTTTTGGAAACGTTGTAAGTCAGACTTTAGGGAGGATTCTGAACCTTTGGAAGCAAAACTCCCTGCGAAAAGATGGCTGAAGCTACAGGAAGCAAGGGCAGCACTGTGTCCACAGAACTGATTCCCTTTCTTTATTCCTCACTAGTGTCAGTAATGGCTGTGGACAGGCCTTTCTGAATGCCTTAACCTTTCTTCTGGGATGTCTCCTCAATTTTCCTTTGAGGTGAAAGACCAACAGTAGTCTCAATTTAAATGAAATTAAATCCACATCAGAAGTCAGACTCGAAGTGGGAAACTTAGTCCTGACCTGACCTGACATTGATTGCTCAGAGCTAAGCATTCTGCTATAACAGCTCCAGGAAGAGGCAACATGCAGGCCTAGGATTACTAGGAAAAGACTGCTCATCCCCAAGAGTTTCTATTCTTGTGACATACAAGTGCTTCTCACAAAATGCCAAGGTATAGAGAGCCAAACTCCTGATTTCAACTGTGAAATGCCTAGCTCCTCCTGTGCTGCAGCTGCCCTCCTAAAGGAGAAGCAAGCATGATTTCCTTTGTTTTGGGGGGCTCTCTTAAAGGAGAATCAAGCATGATTTCCTTTCTTTTGGGGGTTCTCTTAAAGGAGAAGCAAGCATGTTTTCCTTTGTTTGAGGGGCTCTTTTAAAGGAAAAGCAAGCATGTTTCCCTTTGTTGGGGGGAGGGGCTTTGTAATTAGCTTTTGGTCACTATCAAACTCAAGAGTCCATTTATTTTTACAACAAATATCAATTAATGGTGTATTTTAGCTTTAGCTGATTCCACTAGAATACCAAGGATTCACCCGATCTCTCCTTGGATTCTACACCAGGTAGACTGGATTCCAGAATTTTCGGAGGATTTGGATTTGAGGACACTCCTTTGTGTTGTCATCTATTCAGGTTTTCTTTCTTTGTTTGTTTCATTGTATTTTGTTTTAAACAAATTCCTTTTTTGTATGGCTTCCTTTTTCTTCATTTGGATCCATCTATTCCTACCACTGTTAGAGATATTTTTCTTCTCACCTCTGTCCCAAAAATATTGCAACAATTTAAAAAGAAATAAGAAATAAAGGAAAAGTGACTGAAGAAGAAAGAAAGAGGGAAACTATACATGCATTTTTAAATGTTTTAAAGGTAATTGATGTATATTAATATGCCTACATATTGACATAGCCTTTCTTAAAAATCAGAGCTACAGTGAGGCTCAGTGCTTAAGAACAGTGGCTGCTTTCCCAGAGGACCCAGGTTCAATTCCTAGTATCCATATGGCAGCTCACAATCATCTGCAACTCCAGTTCCAGGGGTTTTGACACCCCTGTCTGGCCTCCACAGACAATGGGTATACAAGTGCTACACAGTCATACATTCAGGCATACCATTCATACGTCTAAATTTTAAATAAAGAAAGAAGTAACAATGCTATAGCATTGG